GCCACCAAACCCTTGGAGACGAAAAACGGACCCTGAATGATGCCACCCAGGGCCAGGAAGCGAGCACACGAATACGCTCTGATGGCCAGTCTCGCCAGCGGCAAAGGAAACTAATGCTGCACGCACTGCTGCCAGAGATACTTCAAGTCGATGTGCTCATAATACTTCCTGAGGTCCCAGAAGATGGAGGCCGAAACCTCTTTCTGACACGTACCCGCTTCGGCCCTGAAGGCCTGCCTCCAAACCACGTCACCCGCTCCCCTGGTGGCCCCCGCAGCCCAGTACCTTCTGGGATGGGTGAGCTCCCACTGCAGAGCCTCATGACGACGGGCACGACCCCAAAGGCGGTACAGGCTCGGAAAGACCCCTATGGGCCTAAACCCACCAGTCGGCTTGGCCAGCAAGGCCATGAGCACCCAAGAGAGCTGCCTGGGCAAATCGCCAATGGCTTCCCAAACAGCAAACCAAAGGGCCAGGGCACGCAAAGCCTCATTGGGGAGAAGGCAAAAATGACGACAGTGGAAACCGTCCACACTCACAGCAGAGGAAGTCCGATACTTCTTGGAAATCACACGAAGCTCGGCTGGCTCTAAAACACTGCCATGGGGCAAAAGGTCATGGCCCACACCTTCGCCCTTGCCAGAGCCCCAGATGGCGGCAAACTTATCGCCCTCGGCCTGCAGCAAAGACACTGGGTCGCAAACAACAGTTCCACATCTGGCTAAAGTGGTAGTGGGCTTCCAGGGTTCAGGGTCTTTGATGGCCTTCTGAGCGTTGCGACCGCCAGCATCAATGCCCGTCCGCACCCACTCGTGCCACTCTTTCCGCGACGCAGTCGCAGAGGTGGCCTTAGCAGTGGAGACAGCGAGAGCAACCTGATCGATCAGGTCGTCCAAATCAGAGCCGAGCTCGGGATCCAGAACTGGAGATGAGGCGCATCTAGCTAAGGCAGCACTGGCCTTGAAGAAAGAGAAGAACTCAGAGCTCTCCTGCACCGCCACGGCCAACGGAGGCTGGAGGATCTGGTTGAGCACCTGTCGTCCAGCCTCCTGCAAGACCGATTCCGAGAGATAGCAACTAACTGCACGCAACTGATTACACAGCCAAGAAATATACCGTAACCCAGGATCTTTTTCGCGCCCCGCAGGGCGGAGAACAGATTCTTGGGCTTACGCCACACCGCCGACCCCTTGGGGAATTAGCGGCGCGGCTCCGTCGCCGTGGCGCCAATGACGGGATGGACAGGAGGAGGTCTTGCCGCCGCCGGAGGATGGGAAAGAGAGCGAAAAGAACGGAGTAGAGGACGGGGGAGAGGAGCAGGAGGAATGCGGGAGGGGAGGGGGGGGGGGATGGGGGGGGAGGAGAGGGGGGACGACGACGACGGTAACAACGACACGTGCCAACCATCAAGGCAATTCGGGATTTTCGCTGCGGGAGACTCTTGGAGGCATCTTGCCGCGATTGTGTCGTCGATTGCAGGCGTTTTGCATGGCTTCCGGGATTTCTTGGGATGCTACGGGGGCCAGTTTTGATATCTCCGAGGGGGGTGGGGGGGCGGGATGTGTTGCCTCTCGGGACCTCTTGTGGGCGTCTGGGAAGCATCTTGGGGCCTCGTGTGGGCCTCGTGGGGGTCTCTTGGAGCCTTTTGGGAATTTCCTTAGGCCTCGGGGGCCGTCTCGGCCTCTGGGGGGCCTCTCGGGCCCTCTTGGGGGCTTCTTGGAGGCCTCTTGGGGACCTCTTGGGGCCTCCGTGGCTGTCTTGGCGCACTCTTGGGCCATCATGGGCGCCTCTTGGGCCGTCTTGGATTCCTCTTGAGGCCGTCCTGGAGCCCTCCTGGGCCGTCTTGGAGTCTTCAGTGGCCGTCTTGGGGCCCTCTTGGGCTGTCTTGGGGCCCTCTTGGCAGGGCGGAGAACAGATTTCAGTAAACCTGAGGTCGCTTCCCCCGAGTCCCGAAAACCTTAAGCTCGGCCCCCAGGGAGTTGACAAGATCTTTCTCGGCAGCATCGGCCCAGAACTTGTACCCAATGCCCAAAAGCCTGCGCGCTTTTCCCCCGTCCCCCGCCTCCACCGCGCCAAAAGCTTCTTCGGCCAGGTCCAGCGCAGCGCTCCAGTCGCCCGACTTGGGCGCGGGGCCAACAGGAGGAAGCACAGGCAGCGAAGGGGGTTGGCGGAAGGCAAGAGCCTTAAGATCGCCCAGGGAGCTGTGAAAACGAAGAGACACAGGGCGATGTGGAGAGACATTGGAGTCTCCCTCAACAAAAACACTCTTAAGGCAGAGGCTGAGCGCCTCAGACACAACAACAACATCAAAACGCTCAGGAGGGCCCTTGCTGGGGAAGTGGGTGTGGCCTTCAGGCACAATAGTACTAGCCCTAAGCTTTTTACCAAAATCAGAAGCTTCAAGAACCTCGGGACCCATGTTCCAGTCCGCTCCAACAATGAACTCACACCCCAAAGAATCTAAAAACTCCCCCACCACCCTTAAAGTCTCCGAGAGACCTTCACTGTGGACGAGGTAGAGGCTGCAAACACAACATGGAGCGCACCCTGGAACGTGTACCATGGTGGCAACAGCTCGGCTAGGAACGAGAACAGAATGCCCAGCTGCTTCAAACAGCCCAAGACCATCTCGAACGCAAACACAGACTCCCGAAGAAACTCCGCCTCCCTCTCCAAGCAGACCAGGAGCCCACAGGGTTTTCCATCCCAGGAACTTAGACGACTTCGAGGCTTGGTCCAGAGCACCAGGAGCTTTAAGCCGATGTTCCTGAGCAATAACCACATGAGAACTGGCCGAAGAAAGAAAATTCTTGAGAGTGCCCCAAGAGTTGGCGTTCACCGTGGTCACCAGAAGACCCTCATCAAGCCCGATGCAGCCGTCGGCAGCACCCTGGGCAGCTGGCGTGGGGGCTGAGGTCGCTGGAAGACCGTCGCCGACAGCAACAGAACTCATACAGGACCAGGCCCTGGCGGAGCTAGCACCAGGAAAAAGGGCATCGGATTGCGGCAATCGTGCGACTGGGGTACCTTCAAGCTGAGCTCCACCAGCCTTCACGCAGTACTGCTTCCCGGCCGCACCAGACAGAGGCAGAGAGGAGATGCGAGAGGCTCCTGGGAAATCTGGGGGCATCCGAATTTCAGCACAGGTGAGCGGGGCGTCGAACGAGCTCCCGATGGCTCGAATCCCAAAAACCTGCCGTAAACGCTTGGAGAGACGAACCCCAGAGGCCTGAGACCTGGAGCCTATCACAGACACTCTCGAGGCTAAAAAAATAAAAAGATCCCAGGAGGGTTTCAAACCTGGGTCCCCGCCCTCAGATTCCTGCCCCCCGCCACCTCTAAGACGCAGCAGGGGGCTCAGAGTCCTTGAGAGCCTGGTCGACCTTGGCTCGAATGTCCTCTTGCGGTGCAGCTGAAGCCTGACCAGCCTCAGCCGACGCCGCAGCGGGCGCAGCGGCTTGGGCACCTTCAGAAGACGCCCCAGCTCCACCTCCAGCCGCAGCAGCCGCGTCCGCAGGAGAACCTCCGACAACTTCACCTTCGGCCGTCTTCCGTTTCTTCGCCACCATACGTAGCCGATGAGCTTCGTGTTGTTCGCGAAGTGCCTTGGCATGCGACGCGACCTGGGCGAAGAGGTCTCTGGCCAGCTTGGTGACCCCTGAAGACAAGTCATCCTTCCTCTTCTGGAACTGCTCAAGGTCCGATGCATCCACGTCGTTGTCCGTAGTGAGATCCTCCAGCATGTGGCTGCAGTCGATGAGCTTGGAGAAATCCACCGTGCCCGCCACCAGCTCCTCGAGCTTGAAGGACATCGACTGAGTCCGCACCTCGGACTGCTGCGAAGGCCCTTGCAAGGCCGCCAGAGACTGCTTGTAATCCAAGTCCGCTTGGTCAACCTGGTCGCGAAGCGATCGCAACGAGACTTCCGCTTCCATAAGTTGTTCCCGAAGACGAGTGACTCGGCCCAGCGTCTGCTCCATCTGCTTCTCCAGCTTGCGCACAGTGGAATGAGCCTGCTGCATCCGAACGTGGTCCGAGATAACCACAGGCTTGGCAGCTGCCTCAAGATGTTTAGCCATGCCCAAGTACTTGGTGGCCGCTCCGACATCCCCCGCCTTCTGGAGCGACTCACCCAGGGCCTTGGCTTCCGACGCGGTGATGGTAGGTATTGGTCCCACAGGAAGTGGCGGGGTGCCTCCTCCAGCTCCACCAGCGCGTGAATCATCTTGACGGGCCAACACATCCCACATAGACGGGTCGCCACCATAGTAGCCTTTCCCTTTGCCTTTGCCACTGGCCCCTCGAGCACCTCCTTTGCCTCCAAAGCCCTGGTAGACGTGGCCCTTGAAGCTGTGGCCATTCCCGTACCAGTAACCTGGGGGACCAGCCGAGGCCCAGCGACCACCTGCAGGAGGCCCAGCAGCATGAGAAAGCTGAGGGAGAGGATGAGCGCAGTGCTTGCAATGCGTGGCGTTGGCGCTGCTCTTCTTGCAGCCGCAGGACGGGCAGGCAAAGCTCGAGACTTGAGCCTGGCCGCGGCGGCGCCCTTTCGCTGTGGACCATCCCTCATCCTCAACCTGCGACTTGACCCAAGGAGCATATGAGAAATGGGCTGGCACCATCGCGAGAGCCGAGAAGTGCAGCTGTGAAAGTGGTAGTTCTGTAGCCAGAACGTAGCTGAAAACGTGCCAGGCGGGCGAACGCCTGGGAAAGCTGTGGGGGCCGCAATCCCCCCCAGGCCACTTGCCAAGTCCTGAGCGAAACGCTACGGACTTGAGCCAAAATGGCTACGGATTCGGCTGCGTGCACTCCTCGCTCCTCCTCCTCCTCCCTCCTCCTCCTCCTCCTCCTCCTCCTCCTCCTCCTCCTCCTCCTCCTCCTCCTCCTCCTCCTCCTCCTCCTCCTCCTCCTCCTCATACCATGACGCCCAGATGCCTCCCCCCCTCGATCCTCCAGGGCCGAGGAAAAAGCTCAGGACCCCCCCCCTGCCTTCCCGCAAGGCATGGCCCAGCAACTCCGGCTCCCGGTGGGCGCCGTGCAGCCCGCGCCCGCCGCGCGCCTGGCGCAGCGCAGCCCCTCGGCGTCGCCTGGGCACCTCCGCCGCCGCCGCCGTCAGTCGCCGCCGAACTGTCGCCGCCACCGAGCCGTCGCCGCCGCCGCGCCGCCATGGCGCCGCCGCGCCTCCACAGCCGCCGCCTCTGGGGGCCCGTCGCCGCCGCCGCCGTCGTCGTCGTCGCCACCGTTGCCGCCGGCGCCGCGAGCCTCGAGGTTCGAGGTTCGCGAGTTGAGGTTCTCTGCCTTGCCTGGCCATTTTTGGGCCACTGAAGGTCTCTGGGGACCTCCTGGAGGTCGCCGCCGTCGGCCTCCGCTGTCGTCGTGCTTTCGTCGTATTGCTGTTTCGCCATTTTCGGCTTCTGGCGGCCCGTTCCGGGCCACGAGATTTCCAAACCACGCGAACAACGTTCCATGATTGTTTCTCCTGCACCCCCAAGGTGCGCTCCAGCACGGAACGCAACTACGCCCAGCTCGCGAAGAATTGCCTACACACCGACTGGTGAGCTTGCCTCTTTTGCTTCGCACTGATGTTGTCCTTATTATGTTTGAGCAGGTCGCGCTGTTGTCTTTGCACTCTGCACGTGTGTGCGAGTGTGGCGTGTGTGTGTGTGCCTGTGGTGTGTAGATGCGGTGTCCGCCCTGCGGGCTCTATGCGGTCCGCTTGGCACGCGGGATGGTCGGCCGGGGTCTCCCCTGTTGGACCTTCCCTTCCTCAACAGTGCTGGGTGCACTCAGGTTGAACGCACCCCGTGCAATGCCCTCGCGACAATGACGTCACTTCGCTGGCTGACGAGAGTGTGTAGTGTGTATGTGTGCATGTATGTGTATGCGTGCGTGTTTGCACGTGTGTGTATTCGTGTTTCCACATGGTCGAACATCCAAACCTGCTTTGATAGCAGGGCCAAGCACTTGGCGATCCTTTCTCAAATACCATTCGATGTCGTCCGATGCACCGCGTCGTAACGGCCCGATGAATAATGGTAGCAACAGCTTTATGTACCATTAAAGGTGGGACATTGAGGGTAGCACCTTGCTCTCACCTTCCTTGAAACGCCAGTACCCCTCAGAGCGTTCGGAACGACTTTCAAGCCAGACACGAAAAACAAGTGAAGCCTCCCACTGCGCATCTGCCATTTCCAGTTGTTCGCGGTATCCGTCTTGCCTTGTTGAATGAAAGCGTTGTGATGGAAGCGATCGCAATAGTTGGACACCATCAGCCAAATAACGTTGGCAAAGAGGATCGTGTGTCCCTGACGTGGCCTGCGCAATCAGGCCCGCCACCAAATCAAAAGTTATAATTCTGAATACGTAGGTGGTTCATCTGTGCCCTCTGGTTCCATCCATGTGGGCAGCCCCGACTGACGGATCACCAAGTCTGTCGTTGTTCTTGCTTTGTTGTTGAGAATTCTCTGTAAGTCGAGCATTTCTCGAATGAAGGCCTGATTGAGGTCGTCGTGATTGCAGTTGTTTCCAATGCCAGTCTGCGTTGTTGGAGCTACGACACAGTAGCTCGCTTCGCTTGTCCACATTGTTGCTTGGCCGATTGCCTCCTGGTTGGTGGCATCGCCCATGAAGTGAGAGAGTTCAAGGCTGTACAAGTTGTTCCCAACCACTTCTACCACACCCCCGCTGGACACCGACACAGCAATCCAGCTGCCTGCGGCTAGTCCCGCCACCGTGCCAGCGCAACCCTCTCCGTGCCGACCTTTCGAGCAGCGCCGGCACGGGCGTCATCTGTCACATGCGTCGTTCCGAGCCTTCAGAAAACTATAGCATGTGGCATATTATTATGTGTCGTGTTCTTGGGCTCCTGTGGGGCAGTCATGAGGGTATATTGGGGCCCTCTTGGGTCGCCTTGGAGCGTTTTGAGCCGTCTTGGGGACCTCCTGAGCCGTCTTGGGCTCTCTTGGGCCGTCTTGGGGGCTGTATTGGGTCGTTTCGGGGGCTCCTTGATCCGTCGTGGGGGTCCTTGGGTCCGTCTAGGGCCTGACTTGTGGCCAGCCTGGGCCATCTTCAGGCCATGTTGGGCAGCATCGGAGCTCTATTGGGTCGGCGTGGGATTACTGTGCATGCTAATTGGGCCGCCTGGAGTTGTTGGAAGCCCGATTCTGTTGGCCTCTTCGGGCTCTCCTGCCAGCCCTCCAATGGCCCTTGTGGGCCGCATCGGAAGCCTCAGTGGCCCTCTTGAGGCCATTTGGGGTGGTCTTGGTGCCAGAGGAGGCCGTCTTGGAGGCATCTTGGGCCAGCTTCGCATCGTCGATGGCTTGCCTGGGCCGTCTTGGAAGCCATCGTGGGCTACTGGGAAACTTTGGAGAAGGCTAGTGAGGCGTCGAGCCGCCCAGAGAGGCACGGGGGGACGGGGGCGATGCACGCAGCACTCTGCTAGTGGGGGGGGGGGCTTAGCAGACTACAGCAACCCTACAGAGCAGCACCTGGCATTTTAACACGCCTCAGCGTGCCAGGGGGCACGGTGGCCCCGAAACTGCAATATAGTAAATCCCCACGCGGTTCATTTGAATCCTTGTGTCCTTGGCGGGCTACGCCATATAGGGAAAGGTTGTGCTCGAAACGGATGGCCATGTCCTTAGCACCATCCGTGAGCGCACTCTGCCACTTCTCGCCAGCGCACGTGACCTCTACAGATCGTGAGCTTCTGCAGCCTTGGGATCGCTTGTGTGCAATATGGCCCCACCGCCAGCTGCCATAGGAACTTCGCAGTAAGAATACGTCCCATGACGCTCGTATTTACCTGTTTGACGGGAGGGCCGGAGGGGCAGGACATCAGAACGAGCGGGTCGGCGGGCGGCACGTTAGACGGGCGAGCGGACTTCCAATCAAGCGAACGGGCGGGGACCTAGGGTCGGGCGGGCGGGCCCGAACAGGCGTGTCGGGCCACGGACCCTAATGGGCTGGTCGGGCGGGCGGACCCGCAAGGACGGACGGGTTGGGCGGACAGGAGATTAAAGCGCGATTCGTGAGCAGATCGTGGGGGTTCTCATTCTCGCGCAAGAGAGCGATTCTAGAAGAAGTTGTAAGCAAGTCGATGCGAGAGTGGGATTCTTCAGTAAGTTGTAAGGAATTCTGAGCGATTGCGCGAGTCTTCAAGAGATTGTCAAGGAGTTCCAGGCGGGAGCCGATGTTGATGTAGCCAGGGGCCCAGGGGCACAGTTTGAGACCGACTATTTCCCTCGACGAAGGCACGGTGCGAGCGTCGAGGGGCGCATTACACTCTATCGCGAAGGCCTTACGGCCAGGACCGCCGACCCTGAAGGACGACGACCACGAGCACGGTCACGACCACGACCACGGCCACGACTCTGAACGCGACGACCACGGCGACGACGAAAGCCACTCAACAAATTGAGGGAATATCGTTGATTCTGCCTTCTTGGGGTTCTCTTGGGATTGCTCTTGGAGCTCTTTTTGGCCTCTGACGACGAAAAAACATTCAAACGTAAAGGAACATCGTTGATGTTGCCCCTTGGGGGTTCTCTTGAGAGTGTTCTTGTAGCTCTCTTGGGCCTCTTGTGAGCTTCTTGGGCGCCTCTTGGGGCCTCATGGGGGCATCTTGGAGCATCCTTCTGCCCTTTGAGAGGCCTCTTGGGCCGTCTTAGGGGCCATCTTGGGCCGCCTTGGGGGTCTCTTGGACAGTTAGCTGGCGCTCTCGGCAGCCTGCTGGTCCGTCTTGAGGCGATGTCGGGGCCTTCCTGGGCCGTCTTGGGGCGTCGGAAGATCAGACACGCGAGGACGGGAACAACATTGAAAAGCACAGTAAGCATCAATGATTGTCTCGTCATGGGGCCCTCTTGGGGCTCCTCTTTGCGCCCTCTTAAGGCGTCTTGGGGGATCCTGAGGCCGTCTTGAAGACATGTTGGAGCGATCTTGAGTTGTTTCAGTGCCCTCTCGGAGGACGCAGCGGCACAAGTGAGCTCGAGGCGTCCGGGAGGCAAGAAATCGAAGGGGAAGCCTTCTCTCAGGGAGGGGTGTCCCCCCTGGGGAGGGGAGGGGGGGGGCGCACAACCCCCGCCCCCCCCCCGCCCTTTCTCCTAACGGGGAAGTGAGGGATCAAAGGCAAGGATCTTCCCTTCGACCCGATTGCGACGATGCTCGAGTTCCCTTTGGCTGGAACGCTTGAGGAGGAGGACCCACGGACAGGGGAGGAGTGGCGACGACGACGGCGACAACTCGAACGGAAACGCCCTTCACACACGCCGACAGGGTCGACGGATTGCATTGTTGATAGCAGAAAAACGCAGCAGACGGGAGACGAATAATTGATCTTGAGTTCTTGAGACGTCAGAGGCCACCAGCAACTCCAACAAAGTATATCTGCCCGACTGAAATTGTTCAGGTCGCCAGAAGTTTCGCGGAGGAGGTGGAGGAGGAGAAGGAGGAGGAGGAGGAGGAGAATGAGGAGGAGGAGGGGGCGAATAAGGAGGAGGATAAGGAGGAGGATCCCCCGGAGGCTTCTGAAGGCCACAAGAGGCCAGAAGACATGAGAAACCGCCGGTTCCCCACGTCAAATTCACTGGACGTTCCATTCCGCTTCCAAGTAGCTCCTGCCTGTCGCACCCCGAGGTTTGTCGGTATGAGACAGTTTTTATCCACCCAAGGGATAACACATGTTAGCCCCCCCCCCCTGCCCCACCCCCTCCGTGACGGAAGCGCCCCGGCCCGGTCCAGCGCGCGATCTTTGGCAGCCTAGGGCCTGTGGTGCACGCGGGCATTGCTGGTGCCGCGGTGCACGCGGGCGTGCATTATGGTGTACGCAGGCACTACGGTGTACACTGGCGTTGTGGCGCACACAACTGTCGTTGCAGCAGCAGCTGTGGTGTACACAGGCATAGTGGGTGTACGCAAGATTTGTGCTGTACACATCACAAGCCCTGTGGTGTACACATGCGCCGTGAAGTACACAATCGCTGTAGTGCGCAAAGTCGTGTGCATTGTGTGCTATGATGTACCCACGCATCTCTTCCTACTTTTTCCTCCTACTCCCTCTTCAGTTTCGTCCTCCTCGTCGTCGTCCTCTTTGCGCATACAGGACGCGGACATTGTGGTGTACACAAGCATTGTGGTGCACACAGGCCTTGTGGTGCACACAGGCGTTGTGTTTCACATTCGTTGTGGGCTCAAATTGTCCGAGGGTTCTTCGGGCCAGAAAACCAAGAATCACAATCACAGCACATATTGAATATGATACATTTGGGCCCCCAGTAATTTCCTGGACGTTGGCTCCGCCGGGGCCGTATAGGTGTACATGCTGTTTGATGATGGCGCGCATCTTGGCAATTCTCTTTGGAAAAGAATGCGTGTCCCGAGCTGTCGACCCCATCGTGGGTTCCTTTTACTCCTCCTGCTCCTCCTGCTGGTGCTGCTACTCCTCGTGCTTCTCCCGCGTGTATTCCCTCGGCTATCGCCTCTCCGCGCGCCCCCAAGCCGCGTGGTATTCACGGGCGCCGTGGTGCGCGCAGTTGCCATAACGCGCACAGTCGCTAT